CCCAACATCTTACAATATTAAATGTTGGGGTCAAAAGAATACCCCTCCCCCTCCCACCGCAAATTCAGAGTCTTTTTTTTAAAAGCTAGAATTGATTTTTTGTTTAAAAAAACATGTATAATGTTCTCCAGACACATTTACAATATATTTCTCTTACAGATTGTAAAGAAAGTCAAAACCTGAAGGGAAGGACGTTGTACTTGGGCACTTTATTTCTTGTGTCTACCGCTCAGGCAAAGATGTACCATGCATTAAAATTTTAATATCGTTTGTAAAGACACAAAAATAAAATATATGGGTATTATTTACAGTAATGATCCCATACCATACAAGAAGGTTAATGAGGAAGGTGATTAATGCCAGTTTCGTTTTCGTTTCACACAGGTCTGCGTTATTATGCGGTTGAAAAACACATTATTACATTTTCAAGAGTGTCAACAGACTATTATCCTCTGTGTGAAAACAAAATAAGGTAAGAGCAGAAGAAAAGCTGAGCCTTGGGTAGGAATAAAACCAAGAGAATTCAATACGAAGCCGAAAACAAAACATGAGTCCTCTTTTGCACCCCGCACCCCCCCCCCCCCCCCCCCCCCGCCTATACTAACAGTGGACATTGCCTTATCCATAGGAGAAGTCTGGTTTCATTGGTGTGTATATTTGTTTGGTTAAAGAGACAACTCTCCTTGTATTTTAAAGAAACTGAACAAGGGGCAAAAACTTTACCTTCGATTTTCTCCGAAAAGCATTTTTCGGGATAGCCCCCCTGTGCTTAAAAGCGACCCTATTAATTATTGTAACAGTTCGCCCGCCACTGTCTGACGATGACCAATGCATACTTAGAGGAGAATATTGCTCAAGTCAAATAGAAGAATATTACAAGTTAAGATGACTGGCCTGGTGCTTCTGCTTCGAAAAGCGAAATGTGCAGAAGGCGAAAAAAAGACGGTGCGAAGAACAAAAGAAAGCAAAATCAACCGGTGTAAAGTACGTCTTCCAGAGGCCAAGAAGGTAGATTGGAATGAACAGACCAGTCAAGGAAGTTATGCCGAAATTGTGAAAGAGTTGGTTGGATAGAGAATACTGACTTACAAACCACTAGCGTAACTTGTAACTTTAACTCTGCATAGCAAGATGGCTTTCTCCCAGAGATAACATTGATGCCACCAACTAAAGCAAAAGAGAAAACCACAAAACAAAACACACAAAAAACGTTTAAAATTTTTAAAATGAAACAGAACTCAGATTTATACTGAAAACGATTGTAGTTTAATAAATACAGTAAAAAGGATCGTTACTACAATTGTTGTTGTCCTAAATGCCTTTACAGCACTGTGAAACCTCCATCCTTTGCTTAACATCCTTACATACAACAACACCAAAACACATTTTTAAATATAAAAAAAGGTTTAAAAAGCTACACATCACGTCGGCAACAACAAGCAAACACATAACATTTGACCTTGAAGTCAAGATACACAATGTGCTCGCTCGTTAACACCTAACAGCCGGTCTTTACGGGACCCACTTGAGTGACTCACAGGCGTAACTTGGGCGTATCAACCCCTTTGTTGGCTGGACGTTTGGCTTGTGTGGTCGGATTATACAGCACGTTGATACTATTGGCAGAGGGGTTCAAAGACATGGAGCTCAAGTGGTCCCGTTCAGGGCAGCTACACAGACGGAGACCTCGCCAGCTTAGAATTGCAAAGTTCTATTTGACTTTTAAAAACCGATTGAGTTATATATAAGACCGAGAAGTCAGAAATCAAATGTTCTGTCTGCTCTATAAAAATTGTAAGATGATTCAGAGTCATTATCAAGATATAAAAAAAAAAATTGCGTTCGAAAAAGCTTGACATGTTGTGAAACGGAAAACATCTTTACATTAAGTTCTGTTTAAAAAAAACTGGGTACTGAGCAGGTAGAATTTTGTAATTCTAGGGTAGCGACCAGCCGACAGACACAAAACATGTTGATCTGGATACATCGAAACATGACTGAATATGGTTGAGTATTTTATGGAACTCACAAATTCATCGTGACTCATAAAATGACTGGATGGAGAAAAATTAGTCCAATGTAGAATAGGAAGATTTAAAAACAGTAAAACATATACCCCGTACTTTGAAAAAAAAATGATATGGATGTGCACTTGATCATAGTTGGGGTTGAAGAAAGGTATTGTTAAATGTATAGTTTGTGCAGATGAATTGTCACCTTAAAAACCCAAACATAATAGTCGGACAGTCATTATGATTGCATTGTGGCAACTATCATGACATTAATGGTAAGTGGCCTAAATGAATTATAATGAGGATGCTGGATTTCAACTGGAATATTGAACAATTTGCCTTTGAGTGTCTTTCATGTTTACTTGAAGTCTAAGACAATTTAAATAAAATAAAATTTAGAAAATAACTCGTTGACGTACCTTTTATAAAATGTCATCAATGGAAATCAAAACAGGAAAATTGAACACTGCTATACTGCATGTAGCTGAAAATTGCTTTTCCAGTCTCGGTGTCTGTGGTGTAGTGGTTAGGCTCTTTGCTGGTGCCCGACGTCAGTTTGAATCCCTCAACGATCTTTATCCTTTTGTTTGTATGCTGTATTCCATCTAGCTCTCAGCCCGCCTCCAGAATAATCTAAATTACTTTGAAAGGGCGTGAAACATTTTCAATCATTTTACAATCATTTATGATCATGCCATCTTGCACGCAATTTTTTCAAAACTTAAACATTACCCTGGGATAACAACCAGAGCTCTACTGTACCTTGAACAAAATAGCACATAATATTCTTATTCTCTAGACTAAAACCGAAATACAAAGACTTAAATAGGTTCGTTGTTGTTTTCATTTTTGGTGTTACCCACAAATGTATACACGCGCCATCGACAGAAGTCTTTGCTCATTTTGATGCCACATTCCAGGCTCAGAACCACGTTTTCTGCTTTATGCAGAGAAATATAAAAAGTAGCAGTAAACAAAGTGCCTTGTGCATTCACCCTTTCCATTGCACAGATACTGTTGTGATGTACAATACAATTTTGATTTAAAATGGAAGTTATTCTTTGCTAATTACAAAGAGAGGCTAGACATTTCATACGAGAGTTTGTGTTACTCAAGGCCGGGTTTCTCCCTCTGGCAGATAAAAGAGGTTACCATGTCAGAGAAAAAGAAAACCACAACAAAACAAACAACGTAATTTTGCAAAATGTTGAAGTTCTGTCATATGTAGCACAGATCATGAACATTAGTTTCTTGTTGTTCTCCAGTCAGTTATGGAAAAAAGGGAATATTATAGAGAGTTTTATGATAAGTATGTACACGCATAATGAATTAAAGAGTTTCACAGTTTATCTACTCTTCCAAAATGAGGTAGGTTACTACATGATGATGAGGAGTATCAATTCAAACAAGTTCATCAAAAAGCTCCTTATGACAACCACACACTCACACATAATACTTAGAGAACTCAATGAATATATTCGTCCTGACGTATATTATTTATACAGACTATCACTTTGAGATAATGATTTAACAGATCCACATATCACACACAACAATTGTTATATTTTCCACCTATAAGAAAAAACAGACGAGTATAAAAACCCAAAACAAACAAAACTGCAACAAATAATAAAAACACACAGAAAAAACTCATCCTCAAAGTTGAACCCAACCGTACAATTAAAGGTCATAGCAAAATTCGGCCCTTATTTAAAAAATGTTAATGGGTTTTAAAAAGTCCTCTTGCATGAAGTCAAGGCGACACAAATATGGCCACCACGAAGGGTCACTGGGCCTGCTGAGTCAAGAATGGGTTTTTTTTTTCTTTAATGGGCAGGTGAATTACATTTTATTTCACCTAGTTTAACATCTATTAAGACAAAGGAAGCATCGAAGCTGGCAATATTTGAATAAATATCTTTGTCAAGACACAAAGTCTGTGTAAAAAAACGTCAGACAAGCTCCTTCCCCGAGAACAGAAATGGTGTTTTGCTCACTTACAGGACACTGTTCTCATATGTAACAATCTTAGTTCCATTTGAGTGAATTAAGATAGTAGGAGGTAAAATATTATATGATTGAGTTAAAGTGAGTCTTATCGAATTAATAACAGCCAGACTGGCAGCTTGGCAGCCAGCTGGACAAAGACACAGAAGACAGAACAAAGACAGATTGAACAATCATTAAAAGAGAGAGAGAGAGAGAAAGAAAGAAAGAAAGAGAGAGAGAGAGAGAGAGAGAGAGAGAGAGAGAGAGAGAGAGAGAGAGAGAGAGAGATATGAACAAGCAAAAAAAGGTTGGGGGGGGGAGTGGGGGTTGCTAACCTGTATAAGATTTTTCTCGGAAAGTCTTCACAAGAAGCGACTATGCCAAAGCTTTGCTTTTGATCTTTGTCACCTTTCAGTATAAGGTATTACAATTCTAAACAGAGCAAGCAATTTTTTAGACAATGAAATTCAAAGTAAACGTATGTGTAGAATTAATTTCGAGTTCAGTACGTCACAATTAAGCTTCTGCCACGAGATGATATGGGCTGGGCTGCCCTCAATGTGACTCAAATACAGCTGAGAAAGATAGGACCGTCACAAATATAGCATATTGATGTAATCACCCTCCCCCCTCTCTCCCTCTCTCTCTTTCTCTGTCTACCTCTCTCTGTCTCCTTCTGTCTGCCTGTCTGTCTGCCTGCCTGTCTGTCTGTCTGTCTGTCTGTCTGTCTGTCTGTCTGTCTGTCTGTCTGTCTGCCTGTCTGTCTGTCTGTCTCTCTCTCTTCTCTCTCTCTCTCTCTCTCTCTCTCTCTCTGTCTCTCTCTCTCTCTCTGTCTCTCTCCATATACAACGTGGCAAAGAGTAGTCACGTCCAGTAAAAGGTCTGTCTGCATTATAAATTTACGGGGTAAGCTCCTGTGGATCTACTTTCATCTTAGCGATATTTATAAACCGTTGGCTACAATTCTTGGTCTGAAAAACTTTATTTTCTTCTTTATTACCAAACGTTTAGATGGCTATATTCGATCGACTAAAATCACAAGTTAATTTTTTTATCATACAAAATGAAAATGAAAAAAAACCCATACTAGATCAATAACGAGACTTCGACACATAGATAAATCCCGTTTAAATAAACACTCGTACCTATCGAAATACTATAGTCGAACAAAAAGTCGTAATATTATTAGATGAATTTAAAAAAAATAAACTTTTATTGTGCTCAAAAGAAACTGTTAACGTTGATGTATAGGCCTAATGCTTACTCTCTTTGTTGTCGGACACAAAAGAAGGGAGTTTGAGGAACACTATTATTATTACATCACGTTTCATCCAAAGAAAGAGAGACTTGTATGAAAAAAACCTGCAGTTTAAAAATCACCCGGTGTAAATAAAACTTTGTCTTAAAAAACAAGTACACGCACAGCCAAAATGTTGGATAGAAAATGATGAATGAACATTTCGTGGAGCGAAGCAGTATCGATTAAACCACTTGTTGTATGTATACCGTGGGCCTTATAGAAACAGTTATGAGGTACAATAATGCAATGCAATTATGAGAGGCAATTTGAAGCCTGGTAAGGGCAAGTGTTTTTTTTTTTTGGTTGTTTATTTTGTTATATTCAGCCACAAATGGGAGTCTACATTCAAAAATCATTTAATTGCTTGTTGTCTAAGAATTGACTTAAATCACTATGCCACTCATAGAACTTGGCAACGGAAAACATAACAATATTATGAATTATAATGGTTTATCAAAATAGAAAAATAAGAAAAACATTCATAGCCTTTGGCTCGACAAACATAGCTTACAAAATCGCATACTCATGATACTTTTGAGTCATATAGTGATAATAAATACGAAGGAAAGGGTGTCAGGTAATGTAGAAGAGTAGGGTTTGCTCAAAACATTCACACTTGAAAAAGAAATAAAATTGTATCATCCAATATAATAAGTTACATAAATCATTCACCAAGAAGTCTTAAAGACTTACATGAGATGGATATAGTGGTATTGCAGTGGGGTGTGTACTATCTGGGTGTTGTGGCGTTACATGAGACCCTTTCAGGATGCCGTTGTTGTTAAGTCGTTAAAGGTCAACTGACACAATTAAGGTGAAGTTGTTACTTTTAACCTCTTTACTGATGTGTACACATTAGTCTACTCACTTGACACTGGCTTCTGGGAGATATTTTTGAAGATGTATTGCAACTTGTGCAACTTCCTATTCTAAATAATTTAGTATGACTTTGTTTAAACCTCCCCTGAATGAACATTTTGTCTTGTCCCTACCGACAGTAATGGAAATGATTTAGCAATGAAGTGTAGATCTGCATCACTGATTTGATCCCGGGAACGCGACGACAAGAATTCCAGCAATATGAAAGTAAGCATCAGTCTATATCATGACTACATAATATAGAGGGATTCCTTGTAGGTTAGAACTGTGTTGTTAATACCAAGAGCTCTATACGTCAGTGTTTGCATCGATAAATTCCTTGATTCAATTTCGAGTAATCATTAGCAATGAGGAATATATACATGCATGGATTGTCTGTTGCGTTTCATAAGCGTGGAAGAATGTAAGTGGAAGATCCCTTTCGCCAAGTTTATTATGACATAGGCTTGAACACATGACATAATGGATGAAACCCACACTCTTGCAATAGGCGTAAGAGGCTAATTGCTATATCTGATGCAGTGCTTATCATTATAGGGACATCCAATGTGTTCTCTGTGGAGGACAGGAAAGATCAGGATTTCATTATGCTTCTTTGTTCACGGTACCAAAAAGAATACAGTGCAGACTTTGTTAAATACATATCGCTATAAAATTACAAGACGACAAACAGATGTAAGCAAATCAAAGAAGAAAAAATAATTAAAGGGCTTACGTTATGTCATGATATTGATATTATGAGCGCAAATCTTTTGATAACCGGGGGTTAAAAAAACACTTTAAAAAAGACATATATACACCAAAATAATATATTCTGTAATATTATTTATAGCTTTCCTGAGTGACCACGTTTCAGTACACTCGAGAAGGTACCAAGGTTTTTTTTACACAAATCATTTCTGCGTCATTTGTATACATTTTCTAACCAGTACAGTGGGCAGCTTTGCAGCGAAATCCAACCTTTCAAGTCTACTAAACGACCACTCAGACTTCCACACACTAACTTTCCAAAACATACACACATGCATACATACACACACACACACACACACACAGAGAGAGAGAGAAACATACGCGCAAACAAAAACAGAAAGAGAGAGAGAGAGACAGACCGGAAGAGAGAGAGACAGACAGAGAGAGAGACAGAGAGAGAGACAGAGAGAGAAATAGAGAGACAGGGAGACCGACAGACAGACAGACAGACAGACAGACAGACAGACAGACAGAGAAAGAGAAAGAGAGAGAGAAAGAGAAAGAGAGAGAGATAGAGAAAGAGAGAGACAGAGAAAGAGAAAGAGAGAGAGGGAGAGAGAGAGAGAGAGAGAGAGAGAGAGATAGATATATATATATATATATATATATATAGAGAGAGAGGGGGGGGGGGAGTGATGCAGACACGCTTACTTCTGGCCTTGTCCGAGGGCAAGAAGCTTTTTTCATATTGTTTTTGTTTGTTTTTTCAGTTCAATTGCTCCTCCCTCCCCTCCCCCTAAAATAAAAACAACTATAACCAACAAAAAACATTAATAAAAACAAATAATTGAAACGACAACAAAAAATTCCCACATTAAGCCCCCCCCCCCCCCCAACCCCTCCCTAGACAATATATAGAAGGAAATAAAATAGAATAGAATAGAATAAACTAAATAAACTAAAATAAAATACATTCTGGGATAAAATAAGGTAAAGTAAAATATGACGAAGTGTAACAAATCAAAATAAGATCAATGAAATGAATCAATAAAAATAAATTAAGATAAAATCCCATCTTTGACAGGTTAGAATTTGAAAACCCTAGATCGTACCCAATCAAGAGAACAGGATTGAGCATAATATGGAGTGTAGAACACGCAACAGCTTACCTGAAATCTTTTCACATGTCCTGTTCTTTCAATGTCCTCGTGCTCCCACTGTGGGGATATGCCTAGAGCCAGACGCTGGGGAATGTGGAGCAGTCCAAATTTGATAGGTTAGTGCAGTGGTAGACCGAGGGATATATAGATTGTAGATTGTCTACTAAAAAATATAAAAAATTAAAAATTACAGTTTCATTTGTCCCAGAAGGGTACTTTGGTTTACAATAGCAAATATACTATATATTACATAAATACATAATTATAACTACGTACATACATAAATACACAATATTACACAAATACAGAACAGTTTAATACCATGCCACTGTCGGTCGCCACACACTGAGCAGCGCCCTGTATTTTGAGCTATTGTTGTTGTGTCTTACCAAAGGACATAACCCAGTGACCACCCATCTGATCCCCGTGTCACCGACACTACGAGGGTGCGGAGTTAGCTCAACTGGTATTATGCTGGATTACGGAGCGGATGGCCACGGTCAAAATAGTCGCTTTTAAGCGCAAGGGGGCTATCCCGAAAAATGCTGTTTTGAGAAAATCAAAGGTAAAGCTTTTGCCCCTTGTTCAGTTTCTTTATAAATCAAGGAGAGTTTTCTCTATAACCAAACAAATATACACATCAATGAAATCAAACATCCCCTATAGGTAGGGCAATGCCCACTCTTGGTGTAGGTCAAGAATTCTGGAAACCCCCGAAATCTGGGTGAGCCCGCTTGTCCTTAGAGGTGACCAAATCTTCAACGGGGAGTTCTGAACCTAGGGTTGTGTAAGGGAGGTTTCGAGGCGATCTACCCATTTGGCTTGGTCCTATCGGAGTTGGACGGTGAATAAGGAACTTTAGCCTCCCGAGTAACTTTGGTTTTTTACTTACCTAGTTACTTGGTTACCCTACCAAAGTATGCGGAAGGCCCGGGAAGTTGTCGCACTAATAAGGCAATCCCCAATGTCCGGATCGAATGCGGGAACAACTATACCTTTAGTTACTTGTTTTGGAGAATAGGTATCATCGCAGGCGGTACAATGCCATAGGTGCTTCTCCAGAATTTAAGAAGGGGTTGGCTTGCTGATAGAGCCGATAAATATGACATAATTGAATAACCATACAGTGTGGGAAAAGACACTAAACCTAAACAAACATTATTGGTTTCTGTTCAACTCTTGATCGTGCCGCGCCCCAAATGTTTACCCGTGGGTTCGATCTAAAAGTATATAACCAACAGTCTCGGGCCGACTTCATAATAACCAACTGGCCAGCTGGTGCCCAGTTTGGATTTACATTGGTACAGCAGTCGTGTCAGCTTACATCATTTGCTCTGACAAAAGTTTGTGTAAACTGATTTTTTTAGAACAAAAGTAACATTTGGCGGGGATAAAGGATTTCACTAGAGAAAAGATCATAGGTTTTTTTATTATTACAGTTTTTTACGCCTGTACAGGATGGTGCACCGGAGCACACAACTACACATACGCACAACACAGACACACGCGCACACGCCCACACACAAAAAACACACACACGTACACACACAAGCCTCACAAATACACACACAACATATTCACATGGGCACACTCACGACTTCGTTTTTCAGACAGTGACACACACACACACACACACACACACACACACAAACACACACACACACAAACACACACACACATACACATATACACACACACACAAACTCATGTGCACAAATACTTAATAACACACCTGTCTGCAAGAGCCACGGGTCCGAATCAGCTTATAAATGACGTAACCAGGCACCAATAGCATGGAGGAGCAAGCGACCCCCCAGCCTACAACGTTGGCGTAGTACGGGTATTTATACTTTCCCTGGGATGTCTCATATGTCAATGGCTGGTATGACGCAATGCTTGAAATCACAACCACCTGCAACGTTGAGGGTTATAAGACAAAGAGAATAACAGCATAGCAACTACAGTCTACTACAGTCGCACTTGTTCAAGACAATGTCTGTACAAATAACCACTTTCCACTTAGCACCTTACGTTTTTTTCTACGCTATAATTACATAGTCAAAGACGTCCACTTGTCTGAGACTACATATTTACTGCTTCATTATGTATACTGTCTTGAACAATATCGTCAGCACTTAGATTCCTTCAATGCCTGGCCTATTAAAGGCGGTTTGAGGTTTTTAGTAAGCGTATAGGCCAGGCGTGGCGGTGAAATGGTTCAACACCAGCATGTCCCTATTTCGATGAAAGTAAAAAGAGACTTCCTTTCGTAATTTACTTAACTAACCAACTACGCCCAACCAGAGACGTGATGTCACGCACAAAGAAAGCTTTTAACTTATTTTAAGATAGGAGGGGGGGGGGGGGTAGGCTGAAGTTTACTATTGCTATCATAA